GGTGTCGGTTTCTTTATCCCTGAAACGAGAGGTCTCCAACAGTAGTTCAGGGAGTCTGTTGAGAGCTCGTGTTTTCGAGAAAGTTCGGCCTAAGTGACAAAGGCTGGATGTCAGCAGAACGGCGGCTGGAGAATGGAGAGGGTGGGTGGCTGTCATTACCACGGGCCTGACCTGTCCCCCTTCTGTTTCCTCTCCAGACTCAGGGTATCTGTTCAGTGGGAGCCGCCCACCGTCTCAGGTGTCTCGATCTGGAGAGGTTCCTGTTCCAGGTAAGGAGGACAGGGAAGTGTGGGCCAGGGTTTCCAGAGCATCCTATGGGATGGGACGGCAGCCTGGTTAAACATGAGCTTTGGGGTCCCACGGGGTTCTGTGTTCGAGTCTCAGTCCTGAGCCTCCCAGCTCTGCAGCCCTGGGCAAGTGACCAACAGCCCTGTGCCTCAGTTTCCTCTAGTTTCCTCTTCTGTGAAACGGGCGTGGTGGTTTCTAGGATTAGCTCTAATGCTGTCACCCTTATCAGTGATGACTGATGGAGACCACACTCGGGATTAGCTGAGTTAGCTGACCGAAATTAAGTCAGTGCCCTCGGGGGCGGGGGGACGCGGCTAAGGGTCTGAGATCCTCTCCCTTCCCTCAGCTCCTGGCAGGCTCCCCTCTATCCCCAAGTTTTGGTACAGCCTCATCTTTCCTCTCCGGTTAACAGAGGAAAGGCACCGGGAACCACGCAGCCGTATCAGGGATAACGGTGCCTGTAGCAAACATTCAGCCTTGTTTTCATTCCTACCGTAAGCTGTCGTTTCTGCCGTCCTCCTGCCCTCCAGATTACTTCTCTCTCCTGTCGGGATGCTGTGCCTCGTCCCCACTCCCTTCCCCGGCGCCCTCCGTGGCCGGCTCCGTGGCCTCCAGCTCTGGCTCTCTGCGCCACCGCAGGCCCCTCATCAGCCCGGCCCGGCTCAACCTGAAGGGGCAGAAGCTGCTGCTGTTCCCGTCGCCCCCCGGGGAGGGCCCCAACACCCCCAGCAGCTCAGACGAACCCTCGCCCCACAACGGCAGCCTCTTCCCCATCGAGCCGCCGCACGTCCCACAGAGATCACCGGCGCAGGACACGAAGCTCACTGTGGGTACGAACCGCCCCCCCCCCCCCCGGCCGCCCTCCCAGGAGGTGGGAGAGCCCAGCGGGGCCGTGACGGCGCCTGTGGTCATGTGCGGCGCTGGGACGGCCCTGCAGGCGGCCACACGGGGCCTGTCCTTGCTCTTACTGAGCGTGTGCAGCCACTCTTCCCAAGCTCCAGACGCTCCCGGCCTGGCTTCTTGGTGACCTTGAACGCTCCAGGACATGGCCTTCCGTTGGCTGATTTTATTTTCTTCTTTTGCAATTGACCTTGAGAGTCCTTTGTTCCTTGGGATGGGTCAAAAGCACGTGATACCGTGCTGGGCTGCATCTGTCTGGTCATGGATGTTTTTGTTGTGCTCAAGTGATGCTCTGTAAAGCATCTTTAAATTTTTAAAATTAGGCTTCAGCGTTTAAAATTTTGAGCTTTCACGTTAACATGTGGATTTCCTGTGTCTCTTACAATGTCGGAAGGCCCGGCCACAGCGGGTCTGAACACTGGCCAGACAGGTGGAAGGATGGGTTGAGATCCCAGTCCCAGCCTCTGCCACCCCGTGCCCCGCCCTGTGCCCCCAGAAGCCTCCTTGTGGCCGCCGTCCGCCTGTTGGCGACCGAGTTTGCTGCTGCGCATCTATAACCAGCTCCCTTCACGGCAGCCACGTGGCCGGGATATGAACGAGGACCTGGCCTCCCCTTGCCCGGGGTAGGGCACGTGGGCTGGGACGGGCACGGCTGGCCACATCTGAGGACTGTCCTGGGATTGGAGGTAGAGCCGGCCCACGTCTCTGCCTGGGGGTGAGCCGTGAGCACCCGCTGAGACACCTCTTCTCTCTGCAGACATGAGGTCGATGCCAGAAAGAGGCAGTGCCTGCAGCAGCCGCTCCATCAAGAAGGAGGATGATTCCTCTCAGTCCTCCACCTGCGTGGTGGACACCACCACCCAGGGGTGCGTGGAGGAGGCCGCCGCCTGGAAAGGTCTGTGCTCCGATTGGGAGGGGGCGGGGGACGGGCTGTGGGTCCGCAGCCACGGTCATCTGGTCCGTCTGGGACCCTGAGAGAGAAGGCCCTCCAGGGCCCTCGAGTGACAGAGGGCAACTAAAGAACCCACCCAGCACCTTCTAGGTCCAGCTACCGCCCGGCGTACAACGTGGCCACCCTGGGATCAGGCCCCGTCAGCAGAAGGTCATAGGGAGCTGTTTACGTTTAAGACAAAATTTTTTTTAATTTTTTTTTTAATGTTTTTGTTTATTTTTGAGACAGAGAGAGACAGAGCATGAGACAGAGGAGGGGCAGAGAGAGAGAGAGAGACACAGAATCCAAAGCAGGCTCCAGGCTCCGAGCTGTCAGCTCAGAGCCCGACACAGGGCTCAGACTCATGGACTGTGAGATCGTGACCTGAGCCGAAGTCAGATGCTTAACCGACTGAGCCACCCAGGCGGCCCCCAAAAAATTTTTTTAATTTTTTTTTTTTTTTTTTTTTTTTTGAGAGAGAGAGACTCAGAGCAGGGGAGGGGCAGAGAGAGAGGGAGACACAGACTCCGAAGCAGGCTCCAGGCTCCGAGCTGGCAGCACAGGGCCCGACGCGGGGCTCGAACTCACGAGCTGTGAGATCATGACCTGAGCCGAAGTCGGACGCTTAACGGACTGAGCCACCCGGATGCCCTGGGAGCGGTTTACATTTACCAGAGTTAACATTGCGTAACAGTAAAGACCTAGGTCCTCGGCTCTTCCAGCCACGTTTCAAGTCCCCATTGCCCTGTGTGGGCAGTGGCTCCTCTGCGCCAGCACAGATATGGGGGGAAGACGCTGGCCAGAGAGCCTGGTGCACCGCGGGGCTAGTGCGGGGGCTGCAGGCACAGCATGAGGTCAAATCCTGGTTCCAGGTAAAGCACCAGGCACGCTGTGAGCACCCAGAGGCCAGCACAACTGCCGGTGTCCCCAGGGGACACGCGTGTGGAGAAGATGGATGGACAGTCACGAGGGGAGTCTTTCTGCAAAGATGGTTCCCTGTCTCTGGAGCCGACAGGAAATGGGTGCTGTCCCCAGAGCACAGACCTGGGGCGGGAACCCCGGTCCGGAAGCCTGGGCGGGGTACTGCTCCTCTAAAGTGTCTCTTTTCTGTCTGTAAAGTGGGGGTCATGCCCCCAGGCCCCCTCATGGGGTACGAATACAGCACACCCAGTCCTCGCCTGGTAGCACGGGCTCAGGAGACGAGGTGCCTTCCGGGAGGCAGGACTTGGCCCACTGACCCTAGATTCAGGGGTCTTTCTGGGCAGGGAGGCTCCTGGGAGCAGGGCCTCGGGCCCCACAGCTGCATTTCCGGTGGGCTGGGCCAGTGGGCTGCTGCACGGGGACCTTTTAACCGGGTCTCTTCGCTCTCTCTCTCTCAAAGGTCGTGTGGGGCCCTCCCTGGTCCGGGGCCTCCTGGCCGTGAGCTTGGCTGCCAACGTTCTCTTCACTTCGGCCTACCTGTACCAGGTCCTGCGCTGACCCGCGGTCCGCGGCCCCCAGCGCCCGGAGGGGCCTGGAGACGCCCAGGTGCACGCTGCTTTCACCACTGCCGGCCTCGGAGCCCCCCTGAGGGGCTCCGCCATCCTCGCCAGGGCCTTTGACCTCGCTGGGCCAGTCCTGCCTTCAGGACCCCTGCACCTCACCTGGCCGACCGCAGGGCTGAGCGTGTCCGTGGGGTCGCTCTCCTCCCTGCCCGTCTCCTTGGCCGAGATCAGTTGTGTTTGGTGCTGACCCTGATCCTGAAGCCAGGGATCCCCGAGGGGCCGTGGGGCCCTGCGGTCCCCTCCCTGCCACCCGGCCCGCCCGGCGGGAGTGCCACTACTGTAGCTACAGCGGGAGCTGGCTGCCTCTGGACCCTGTGCTGCGGGGCTGTGCCCGCATCTCGTACTGTATCTCCCCATCCCTCTGCGGCTGCCTCGGCTTCCCTGGCGGGGGGTGGGGGTGGGG